TGACCATTCCATCGGACCTACTCCATAGGGTGTCAACAACTTGAATAATCATAACAGGAGTCAAAATATATTTAAAAAACCGATCAAAATGTTGAACCGTATGTGGTCTGTTCTCTAACATTTTTTTAACAGATCTTATGTGGATGGAAATATACAGCTGTACCAAGTCTGAATGAAATCGGATGTTGATTTAGCGTTTTATGAGATTTACGGAAATTCAAAACGTTGACCATTTGTCTGGAGGTATCAGAAGGAATGGACCCAGACCATGGGTTAAAACAATTGTGATTTATGTAATTTGAAGACAATCGAACTTTTACATCATATTTTATATGATTTATAATTATTCAAAATGTTTACCCCTTGTGGGGGAGGTACTTGATGGAGTAGACCGATATTGGACCATTTTCGCACCTGACCTGCTAGTATATATGCAAATATAAGGATTTTCAATGCAGGAGCAAAATCGGATTATTCGTTCTATATCTGTGCAGTAAATTGTTTTGTTGAAATATTACGTCCTTTTCTGCGGGACGTACCAGAAGGAGTAGGCCGATTTACCCATCTCCAGACTCGATCTAAGTATGACCAAATTATTACGATATACCAACTTGGGACCAAATCGGATACTTTCTTCGAGAGTTATCATGCGCAACAGCCACAGGGACGGGCGGACATCTTTAGATCGACTCCACATGTCCTGAAACGGATTTGGTCCAAAGAGACTTAAGTCTAAAACCATTATATACAGCTTTTGCTTACTTCTTTTAAGTTATAATTATTAGTTTTTTCATTCATGCGCCCGAAGCTAGCTGATTTTTTACTTGTTCTTCTCTAAATTTACATAAAAGTTAACCAAAAAATTCTCGAAACATTAAATAATTACATGAATTTTTCAAAATATTTTACGCAATTCTGTGATGGCTCGTTAGCTTTGGTAAGTCAGACACTATCTACCTGAATATATAAACCAATCTAAGGCATATTAACTTCTGCGAACCTCAGGTAAATAGACATTGTTGTTAGCATTTACACATTTCCACAAAGCAGAAGTTAATTATGGGGATTATAGGAAATTTTCTGGAAAAATATTGGCAATTTAAAGGAAACCTTTAAAACATAAGATATCATCGCCGAAAGCCACTATACCTTACTCAGGTACCTTCTCTCTCTCTCCCTACCTATAGCGCCACTTGTGGCATATAAATCCAAGGATTTTGCAATGTTTAAGCATCATTCTTAAATTAATAACGGTTAAGTTAACATCACCACATCGCTTCGCTCGTTCGTTCGCCTGACCATCCGCTCGTCCACTTCCCGCTCCAGAATGGATTTAAGTGAAAAACCCACCGTTGGTTACACACTCTACTTGTACCGTGAAGAGTTGCGCCGGCCACAGGCACGTTATACTCGCTTAAACAAAACTAAACTTACACTAACGGATAATCTAATAAATAAGTGTGCCCGAAATCTTAAACAATGTAGCCGAGAGGATCTGCAGGCAATCACCAGGGAAATTCAATTTAAAACAACGCTAACAAATCAATTGCAGCGTTTACGTAATTTAGAGAAATTGGGTTTGAGAAATGTTTCACCCAATTTGGAGAGCACGGATTTATAAAATGTGTGTGTGTGTGCAGTGTGAGTGCAAGTGTGAAACAGTTAAGCGAAGGAGTAGAAGACAACGGAAAAAAACTAAATTTATACCAAAGATTAAGGAAAAGAAGGAGAGAGAGAGAAGTTGTGAAACGATAAAAACCATTCACGTAAGTATGCAACACTGCACCATCTCAAACACCCAGCAAGGGATGGCAGATAGTTTGCGTGCAAGTGAATGTTGAGCAGCTGTGGTGTCGAGGGAAACAAAAATCAACAAATTTTGTAAATAGCAAAATTTGTAAGAATTACTTAGTATTTAGGAATGAAATTTAAATAAAATTGTAATATATATTTTTTATTTTTGAAATAAATTTTCTATGGCAAAATATGAAATCGTTGATGCTTACTTTTCTTCGAGACGAATTCTGTGGACTGATGACTTTCCAAAGACAGAATACCTTTAAAATTATGATAAATTTCTATGCATTGGACATCAATCAGAGAGGTTCTGTTAAAATAACTCCTTTAAGAGGTCTCCGAAAAAAGGAGATTTTCACGGAAACCACTATACAGAACATATAAAGCAAAAACTCTGAAAATAGGAATAGGGTCACTATTGGTATGTAGGATAGGGATATAAACGTATTTTTGAAAATAGGAACTAAAATGATTCTAGAGATGAACAACAATTCTCAAATTTGACATAAAAATCATATTCGGGGTGTAGCGGTGAGAGAATGCCTTGTTTCGTATATTCAAAGGCATGAAAACTGCAGAAAGGTACTAAATATTGTACAATTATCATGGAAAGAAATCTATCATTCCTGACTTTCATCTTGGGCCCATGAATATTTTCTATTTTTTGCAATGCCCTAACATCTAGAATGAAGATATTGAAGTTTTTAAAAACTGTGGTATTTGTCGCTAGCGGGAGGAGATAAGAACCACGTTTTTATTTCAAATGTGTCTTTGATGAGCATAAATTTCTTGGTCGTCAAACAAATTCGAACCAAAGGGAATAAAAAGAGCTAAATTGTACTGAATTGAGTATCATTGACATTCGATGAACGGATAAAGGTAAAAATTCGGTATTTGGTAACTAATGGAGTAAAGGGAGTTATATAAAATAAATCTCCTGAATTCGCTGCTAAATGTTGCACCACTGGTAGTGAGTGAGCAAATAATGCTAGAGATTTGGAAAAAAAAGTTGTCTACGGTTGAAATAAGAAGACTTTTCCACTATTCGTATTATAGACTGTGGAGTTACTGGCCTCAGAGGTAGCTGCTGTAGAGTAACTGGTCTCAGAGCTCGCTACTGTAGGGAAGATGGCCTTAGAAGTCGCTAATGTAGGGCAGCTGGCTCCCGAGGTCGCTATTGTAGAGAAGCTGGCCTCAGAGGTAGCTACTGTAGGTAGGCTTGCCTCAGTGGTCGCTACAGTAGGTAGGCTGGCCTCAGAGGTCGCTTCATCCAATAAATATTTTTAACGCATCCACTTTAATATTTCCCTTGAAAAATATTTAAAAAAAATCGACGTTAACTTCTCAATAGATTTTTATTGTTTGGAAAATAGCTTTAAAAAATTGTAGGACTATTTTCCTATTGAATAAAATTTTTTTAGAAAGTGTTCCCATACCTCGTCACCGAAAAGTCCACCTAAAATTTTGAATTCGTTCCACCAGTTCATTTTAGTACTCAAAATGCGCAACTTGTTTAATGTATCTTTAACAAATTTTCCAAACAACAAGTAAAGAAGCAGCAAATTTCCGGCCGGGCCGAGATTTTTGTACCCTTTCGGAAGGAAAAAAATCCGTCGAAAAATACCACTCAAATAAAAAACATTGGATAAGAAATTTTCTGTAATAGACAGTAGTAACGATTCCGAATTTCAAATACTAAATTTGACGAAGTTCCGGTGAATAATGTCGCTAATATCATCAAAATACCGAATAAAGGGAGGTATCGTTGTATGGGGCTATAAACCTGCATAAACAATTTACCGTCATAGGTTGTAGTACCCATTACGAACTTCAAATTCGTAATTTGACGCAATTCCGGAAAAAGAGAACTCATTGTGTAGAATTCCAGACAATTCCATAGAAATATGTAGCTAAAATCCTCAAAATACCGAATATCAGGAGATGCAGTTATATGGGGGCTATACTATGTAGCTCATCTTCGAACTTGACTGCCTGCAGACAAAAATTACAGATCGGTGCAGAATTTTAGCTTCCTATCTTTTTTCGTTTTACAGACGAGCAGCCGGACGGACGGACAGGACTAAATCGTCTTGGAATTCTATGCTTATCAAGAATATTTATACTTTGTTAGGTCTAAAATTATTATTTCGATGAGTTACAAAGGGAATGACGAACTTAATATACCCTAATTATTCAAATGCACGAGTGCGACAACATTTTATTCATATTAAATTTTTTCCATTATCGAAGTTCGAATTTCCAAAAACCCTTCGGTATATCTATCCTGAACTCCATCGGTGACCCTATTTCCAAATTTCAGAATTCCGTTTGTCCAATATAAAGTAATCAATTTTTCGTACTTTTCGTACCGTTTTCCTAGCTTCAGTGTTTCGTATGGGCCTTGATTCTCAATCAGTCAGTTAAATCACTACTCCCTTATATATTTTTTAAAAAAATTTTCTCAAGAATTCGCAACTATTTCACAGAAGACTACTCAGAAGAAACAAAAAACCTAAGAATGCAAAAATGTCAAATAAAATATCTTTAAGCCATTATGGATGGCCTTTTATGCCAATATAAACGAAAAATGAAATACAATCATGATGTTAAAATGCTGCTATGGGGCTTCAAGATAACAATAACAACGACAGCAACACCACCAATGACTAGTCGTCAATCGACTAATAAGAAGTACTAGTCGCATTCAAGAGTCTGACTAGTCTTTGCGGTGATCAGATCATGAGGCGGAAGAGGGAGCTGAAAAAAAGGCCAATGGAAATGCTAAATGTTGCTGTGCAAGAATAAACTGCAAGCCAGCATGCAGGTATTGAATGGTTGGCTGGCTGGCTGGCGGACTAGTTAGCTGTTGGTTAGCCGTGCTGCAGCAAAATGTAGGAGTGGAAATTCCTGTTCTTGGCCAAACACAGACACACACACACACACAAACACAGATCATGACAGATCTCACAGGGAAAAACCGACCCAAAAAAAAAGAATAAAAAAAAAAAACATAGCAAACCAAAAAGAAACCTGAATTGATAAATGGCAAACGAAGAACGGGCTGAGCAAAATTTATAACGCTTACAGTAAGCAATTGCTTTTTAGACAAAAAAAATAAATAAAGAACAGAAAAGTTGTAGCCGCTTTAAAGTTAGAGTGGAGGCCTAGTTAGTCACCTAGCTAGTTGCGAGTTCAAAACTTACCTTGGTCCAAAGAGGGAGGATTAGAAGAGCTGTGGCAGCAAAACCAAAATGAAATAACCGTTGAATATCCAAATAAAACCAGAAAAAGGTTGGGCAGGCAGGGAGGGAGGGAGAGAGAGAGCGGAATATAGCTTCAAATGTAAATGGCTTTAGCTTAACAACAAACTCTTTCTGTTTTGGCTGTTTTACTCTCTGTGTTTTTCTTAAGGATGCAATTCGTGCTAGCCCCTTCCAAATGCCAATTTATTTTTGCCAAAGTTCTCAAATGTATAACGCTGATCTCCACTTCTGCTTCTGCTGCCGGTGTTGTTGTTGTTGGGTTTTATTTTGTTCCCACGAAACGTGATTTGCGGCAAGTTTGTGGCTTACACAAAAATAGAAATAAAAACAAAAAAAAAACTTGCAGCACAATGTGTCGATTGTCTATGATGTCTGAGAAGAGAGCCAGAAGATGTGACCCTTTTTCATTGCAGCCAGCCACAAAACTTTGCTTGGATGATTGGTTCCCAGCCGTTTGTGTCGATGATGATGATGATGACGACGACGACGATGTTGTAGGTTTTCCTTTTGTGGGTTTTCTGGGGAGGTTTCTTGGCCAACTGTTGCTTGCTTCTTGGCTTTGTTTAATCAAACATAAATTGTTGACTATTTTAAATTATTGAATATATTTCGTTTAGTTGCTGTTGTTAATTATTTTGGTTTACACTTTGTTTAGACACTTTTTGTATTGGGTATAATATGTATTTAATTCACTGATGAAACTTTTTCGCCACTAATTTTTTGTTTTTTTTTGGTTTTTATATTTTGTATTTTATATTTTTATTGTGTTTTTTTTTAAATTTTTATTTTCTGTAAATTAAAAAATATAATTATTATTTTTATAATATTTAACCACATTTTAATATAAAACTTATATTATTTCGTTTCGTTCTACCAAAAATTCCACGAGTATCGAATATATTTTCTATTAAATATAATTTTGAATATGTCATTTCGGAATAGTAATTTGTAAACACGTTAAAATATATTTATGGATTTTAAAGAAGAGTAAAATTCTATGTCGATTTATCCATGGCAGTAAGTCAGGCAGACTTTTTATTAATTAATATTTAGTATAAAATTTGCACTATATTTGCAATATAATGGTACTTCCGACGGTTAATGGTACCGTGAATTATCTCAGGAAATTCCCTGAAAAAATTATGAATGACTTTTGTCCAAAGAAATCTTGGCTATAAAGCCATTAAAAAATAATTTTAAAAGAAAAACCATTCTTGGCCAAGAAATTCTCAAAAATATAAAATTTTGGCCATTAATTCAAAAAACAGTTATATGGGAGGATATACGATATCGTGGACCTATATAGACAATTCTTTTTCAGGGGGTACAGTAGTCACGAGGAACTCCTTGTGTACAATTTCAGACAATTCCATGGAAAAAATGTGGTTAAAATCAATAAAATGCCGAATATCGGGGGGTACCGTCATATGGGGGCTATGCGATATCGGGGACCGATATAGCCCATCCTCGAACACTGCCTGCAGATTGGTGCAAAATTTTCGATTCCTAAGAAAAACCATTCTTGGCCAAGAAATTCTTAAAAAAAAATAAAATAAAATGTTGGCCATTAATTAAAAAAAAATATTTATATAAAAGTTTGCCTCGAATTTGAGTTATTAATTTTAAAAATCTATTTTTTTCAATATTGACCCTCTATTTGGCTTAATCCCTATATTACGGAATTTCCTTATGTTGTGTATTTCGAATGTGTTAGGGTCAATTTTTAACAGAATTAGAAATGTTTTGGGAATATGAATTTGCATTGAATTTAAAATTGGCAGATAACATTTTTATTTTTCATTCCGTTTGTAATTCATCGAAGTAATCATTTTAGGCCCAACAAAGTACATATATTCTAATCCGATTTAGCCATATCCGTCCGTCTGTTGTAATCACGCTATCTTTCGCATGAATTGAGATAGAAGGCTAAAATTTTGCATACAGGTTTATTTTTCCAGTAGTCCGGTTAAGTTCGTAAATGTTCCATGTAGGTCCACGTTTTCACATAGCCCCCATATAACGGTACCTCCCGATATTCGGTATTTTGATGATTTTCGCGACATTATTTACCGTAATTGTTTCAAATTTGTTATTTGAAGTTCAAAATGGATACTACACCTAAGACAGGAAATTGTCTGTGCAAGTTGACGTCTTCGTATAGCCCCCATATCACGGTACCTCCCGATATTCGGTATTTTGAAGATTTTAGCGACACAATTCACCAGAATTGTTTCAAAATTGGTATTTGAAGTTCGAAATCGATACTACAGCCAATTCACCAGAATTGTTTCAAAATTGGTATTTGAAGTTCGAAATCGATACTACAGCCTAAGACAGAAAACTATTTGTGCAGGTCCACGTCTTCGAATAGCCCCCATATAACGGAACCTCCCAATATTCGGTATTTTGATGATTTTAGCGTCATTATTCACCAGAATTGTTTTAAATTACGTATTTAAAGCTCATTATGGGAACTACAGTCTGCGACAGGAAAATATCTATGCAGGTTCAGGTCTTCGAATAAGCCTCATATATCAGTTCCTCCTTATATTCGGTATTTTGACGATTTTAGGTACAATACCCACCGTCGATGTCGTAATTGAAGTTCGTAATGGATGCTACAACCTGTGACAGAAAATTGTCTATGCAGGTCCAGGTCTTCGCATAGCTCCGATGTAACGGTACCTCCCTATATACGATATTTTGATGATTTTAGCTACATTATTCACCGTTTATTTCAAGTTTCGAATTTGAATATGGCAATGGCTTATGGCAAACAATGCCTATGTAGGTCCACGTCGTATAGACCCTATATAACGGCTATATTTGGTATTCTTAAAATTTTAACAGATTTTTTTTTTTTTTTTTTTGAAAATTTCGAAATTCGTTCCAATGGTGGCGATATTGGTCAACGTTTTCGTATAGCCCCATATAACGGTACCCCGATATTCGGCATTTTGATTATTTTAGTGACACTATTCACTGGGATTGCTTCAAATTTCGAGTTTAAAGTTCGTAATGGGTACTAAACTAATGACAAAAAAATCTTAAAGATCTACGTCTTCGTATAGCCCACAAATAATGTAAAATGTCTATGCAGGTATACGCCTTCGTATAGCCCATATATAACGGTTCCTCCCGATATTCGGTACTTTGTTGATTTTAGTGACATTACTCGCCGAAATTGTTTCATATTTTGAAGGTCTTAATGGGTACCAGCCTACAATAAAAACAACATCAGGACATTTGGAGTCGATCTGGATGTATCCGTCCGTCTCTATGGCTGGCTGGATATTGCGAACGATAACTCTCGAAGGTATTATTCGATTTGATCCAAATTAAATTCGAAATAAATGATAATAAATAATATTGGGATGTACCACGTCTGAATGGAATTGGATGATAGTTTCGTGTTTTATGCCCTTCATGAATGTTGACCATTTGTGGGCTAGGTACCAGAAGGAATTTGAAGACAATCGGACTCTTGTATCAAATGTTATATAAGTTATAATTATTCAAAATTTTGACCCTTTGTGTGGGGGGTGTACTTGATGGAGTGGTCCGATATTGTTAATTTTCATACTCAACTTAGAACTGATGCAAATATTAGGCTTTGCATAGTTGAAGCAAAATCGGATTGTCTATTCTTTTCCTGTGCAGTATAATATTTTTTTTTTTTTTTTTGAAAATATCGACATTTTGTGTGGAAGGTAACAGAAGGAGTAGACCGATATTGCTAATCTCCGAACTTGATCTAATTTTGACAATAATATTATAATGTTCCAAGTTTGTGTGAAATCGGATACTCCATTCGAGAGTTTTCGTGCGCACCATCCAGCCAGACAGACGGATGGATATCGCCGGATCGACACCAAATGTCCTAAAACGGGTTTTGGTCCAAAGAGACCTATGGTTTAAAACCGTTTTTTGGATAGACATGTTTTGCCCGTATCAAATGATATATAAGCTCTGCAGTCATATGACTGAGAGTATAAATAGGAGGTACCGTTGTAAGGTGCCGTATCAACCACTGGATCTTTATTAAAAAATACGCAAATTCGAAATCTTATAGGTGAGGCACCAGAAAAAAGGGACCGATATATTTGATTTTCATACTTGCTCTAATATAGACAAAAATAATAGGATTAATAATTTTTTTAAAGAAAATCAGACACTGGCTTGATATTTTTAAGGAGTTATTACTATTCGAAATGTTATCCTTTTGTGCAGGATATACATGATTGAGTGGGCCAATGCTGTGCAATTTTACACCTGACTCAAGCCCAATCAATATGAGATATTTGTTTTTTTTTAGTCGAAAATTCTGAACTTTTGCGAGGAACGTACCGGAACGTAAATACGATAACAATTTTATGATGTGCGAAGTTTGAAGGAATTCGGATCCAGATTATATATCAATCTATTATTTAAATAAAAATTGTGCTTCTGACCTAAATCTTATGATGTGCCGAGATTGAATTATAGTGGATATTTCCTACATTCAATATAAAATTTGTTCTTATTTACAGAATGTTTATCTTCTGTGGGGAAGTTACTAAAAGGAGTAGCCCGATATTGACCAGAAACGGAAAACATTTTCTGTGTCCCAGGAAAGTTTGTAACAAAAAAATTATAGAAACAACAAGTAAAAAAAACGTTAAGTATGGCCGGGCTGAACTTTTTATACTCTCCACCATTTGGTAGAGAAATTATTTTTATATAAAAGATCTGAATTTTTGGAACTACAAATACCAGTAAGATGGTTTGGATGATGCTGTTAATCTTTCCAAAAATCCATAAAGTGGGTTAGGTCGTTATGTGGGGGCCATACCAAAACGGGAGCCTCTATAGACAATTTTATACTTCAATGATGGTCATCTACCAACTCTTCTTAAATAACAAAATTTTAATAATTTCGTGGGTAAATGTGACCAGGTTTATCAAAATACCGAATATCGCAGGGTATCGTTATATGTGCCCTATAGGAAAATGTAGACCTAAATATTTAATGTTATGTCACCGGAGCTAGAACCCATTATAAACTACAAATCCGTGGAAAAGTGTGACAAAAATCATCAAAATACCGAATATCGGGAGGTACGGTGGGTATAGCCCCAAAAGGTGGATCTATATATACATAGTATATACATATATATACTATGTTCCGCCACCGGAGGTAGAACCCATTGCGAACTACAAATATTAATTTTTAGACAAATCCATAAGAAAAATATGCCAAAAATCATCAAAATACCGAATATCGGTAGGTACCGTTATATAGCGGCTTTATATTATTTAATTATATTCCAAAAATTTCGCCTACTAAAGTCCACCTATTAAAATCTAATTTTAATTGAAAATTAAATTAAATTTTTTCTTCAACACATTGAAGACCACGGTTTTGAGTGAAGCAATTGATATCCATATCGTTGTCATTTGGATAGTTAATCCCGAAATTTGGCAGCCCTTTGTTAACAGCATTGTAGATTTTCTGTTTTATAAAGTGAAATCTCTCACGGATGACAATAATAATTTCCAAAAATATAAAAATCCACATAAGAAACGTGTCAACTTGTGGGAGATTAGTTGCAACTTTTAATTTAATTTTTTTTTTGTTTTTTGATGTTTTTGTTCACATTTCTATGACAGATGTTTCTTCACTATTGGCAAATTTTCAAGTGTTTCACTTCTTCTTTTCAGAGAAAATACATTAATATTCAATTTTTGGTTTAAAACACAGAGATGTTTAAATTCAGATTTGAAATATCTTTTTTTTTTAATACATGCAGAATTGTATTTTCAATTTTTGCATAAGAAACACATTTGACAGTTGGTAGCAGTCTCTTCCGTATATTCAATTTTATATCGCTTTTATGGGTATTTTTTTATTTTTTCTTTATTATTTAAATTTTTTAGTTATTTTATAATTTTTACAAAATGTATGCTTTGCATTGTTCTATTATGTAATCTATAAAAATTATAAAATCATGAGTTTGGGTTTTCTTTGTTTTTAGAAAAATATTTTAAAATTATTATTTTTTTTTTTGTATTAAATATTATTTAAAAAAATATATATATTTTTACTTTCTGTTTGGTATTTATTATTTTTTTAAACATGATTTCAGAACCATTTCCACAGTTTAAATATTTTCCTCATAGCATATTTTGTTGTTGTAGGTATGTATTATTATCATCTTTTTTTTCTAGGCTTCTTCTTCTTCATATCTCATTACCATATTCATTTGTAAGTAAATGTAAAATTCATTAACACAACACACAACATATTTTTTTCAAATTGCCCAGAACTTTCATTAAAACTCTCCACTTAAAACCGTTAAAGATTTTTCTTTTAATTTTCTCACGCACGATGATTCTAAAAGGTTTTATTTATGGCCGAGGCACAATTTTAGGGCACACCAAATGATCACGCCAAAAAAAAATATTATAACGCTGGCCTGGTGGATGGACGTACACTCGCACACATAATTATTATTGTGCCCACAACGTGGTGGCAAGAAGAGCAAGAAACGTCAACACTCTACCCAACAGCAAAAACAAAAAGATAAACACTTAAGCGCATTACCGTTATACACAATATACACGTTCGACCGTCACCGCTGTTAACTAACGAATGCTTGGGTTTGGGAGCTGTGGCCAAAAACCCATGCACACTCAGCTCAAATCTTCCATGCTCTTGGCCATACATGGTTGGTTGGATCGTTGGGTTTGGGTTGGTTGCTCGCATTCTTGGTGAGAGGTTTGTTATTTCGGCCAGCAAGCACACAAGATAGCCAACAACAATGGCCTCGGTCTTTTGTGGCTTCAAGTTGTGAGCCAGAAACAAGTTCGGTTTCTTGTTTGAACAACACAAGACACTTGCAAAGTTCTCTTTTTCTCTCTGCACCACAACATTAAACCGGCTTGAAAGAGCTGAGGTTCTCTCCCACAAAGTGAATGAGAAGCTTGCCGCTAACAAGTTTGCATCTTAAGTCTTTTGAATGGCTCATTTTATTGCACATTGCTACAAAAGAGTACCAAAGAGAGCCACAGAGTAGGCCAGAGTTAGAAATGCTAAAATCGTATCTCATTTTTGCCAACAACAATTCGCACTGAAAACCTCTCACTAGCTCTCTGTCTCTTCTAGGGCACCTTCTCACTTAAGCACAAAAGATGCTGTTGAAAACAGTTATATTAAACACTGAAGTCAAATAAATAAACAAAACAAAAAATACATTAACTAAAAAATAACAATAACAACGACAAACAATCGGACACAGTAATAACAACAATACTTTATATATGGGGTTTTTGCTGATGTTGTTGCTGTTTTTGTTTATCGTTTTATGTCATTACCAATGATTGGTGAAATATAGCCGCTGACGACGACGACAACAACGAGAATAACAACCTCAGCCAGAGATAACAGCACAAAACCCCTTAAAATCATTTTCGACGCTTCGCAAAAATTGAAATTGCCAACAAAAAAAAAACATGTATCTCAACCTTTCCAACAAGTACACGAAAATGAGTTTGCATTAGAATATTACTTTTTTCTTCAAATTGGATATTTGTAAGCTGCGGGATCTTAAGTAAAAGGAAAATGTTTAATGAGAGGTCAAAGTTGAAATCAAATATCTTGTAATAGGAAAAAGGAAAATTTGAAAATTCAACAATATATAATATTTTTAATTTTTTCCCCAAGTTTTATACCCTAAGCCATATGGTTACAGAGGGTATATATCATTTGATACGATAAAAACATGCCTAGTCGAAATAAAGGTTTTAGATACTAGGTATCTTTGGATCAAATCCGTTTTAGAACATTTGGAGTCGATCTAGCGATGTCTGTCCGTCTGTCTGTCTATCTGGCTGGTGCGCACGATAACTCTCGAAGGGAGTATACGATTTGGTCCAAACTGGGTACATTGCAATATTTTTGTCAAACAAGATGGGCAATATCGGTCCGCTTCTTCTGGTACCTCCCCCACGAAAGGTCGAAATTTTTAAAAATATATTTTTTGCACAGAAAGAGAAAGGATAATCTCATTTTGCTCCAACTTTGCAAATCCTAATATTTGTGTCAGTGCTAGCTCAGGTGTTAAAATGGACAATATCGGTCCACTACATCAAGTACCTCCCCCACAAATGGTCAAAATTATAAATAATTAAAAATCTCATAAAATGTGACATAAGGGTCCAATTGTCTTCAAATTTCACACATCCCAATAATTTTATTAACAAAAGGTCTGGTGTGAAAATGGAATATATCGGTCCTCACCTTCTGGTACCTTCCCAACAAATGGTCGAAATTTCAAAAAAAAAAAAAAAAAAAATAATTTCTGCACAGAAATGGAAGCAATAATCTAATTTTGCAAGTCCTAATATTTGCGTCCGTTCTAGTCAGGTGCCAAAGTGTGTAATATTGGCCCACTCCATCAAGTGCCTCTCCCACAAACGCTCAAAATTTTGAATATCCATGAAGTTCATAAAAAGCGAAATCAACATCCGATTCCATTCCAGACATGGTACATCTTAATATTTCCATTAACACAAGATCTGTTATAAAGATGGTACAGATCGGTCCATTTCTTTTGCTATCTGGTCCACAAGATTTTAAAAAACATAACGCTCAAAGAAAGTGCAATAAGCATCCAACTCTCTTCAAATTTCACACATACCTCACCCACGAAGGGGCACAATTTTCAATACTTTTATCTGTCATAAATTGCGAAACAACTCAGCGATTCTTTAAAACTTGCTATATCTAAATATATCTCTCTTTGCCAAAAACCTGAGATGAATATGGAATTTATGATTTCCCATAAATTTGATATAAATATTCGATATTTTTATATATTTATAATAATATTTCGGCAAAACCGACCGATACTTTTTTACTTGTTGTCATATTTTTTTATCGCAAGCGATTCTTTCAATTTGCCTTACCATTTTGAATTGTACATTTTGTAAAGTTTTTCTACACCCCGCAACACTATGTTTTTAAGATATTATGTACAAGTCGCAATTATCGTCCGATCCTCACGAAATTTTGCATGAGGGTAGGGTTAGGATCAGAATAAAAGACTATTGTTTTTGAAGATGTACATCGAAGGGCTTAAATGGACCAAAAAATTAATAAATAACTAAAAATGTTCTAATTTTACAGTAGCTCTACAGGTCACAGTTGAAAACAACCAAATGACACGAAATTTTGCATGAGAGAGAGTTAAGGGCTGTAAAATGTACCACGACGTTCGTGTGATATTCTTTTGAATACCTAGCAACACGACGAAGTGCGTAAATATTGGGCAAATGCTTCCGTTTAAAAATCTAAGGGTAACATATGGACAGGGCTCTATGACATAATTTCAAAAAGAAAATCTTCCAAATGGATTTGAACATTAGGTGGGCTTCCAAGATATTGTAGTTTTGTAATGTACCGGTTTTCTTTTGTGGTCTTCTCTAAGTGAATATTCTAATCTTCTATGCGAAAATCTTTTGGATCTTTAAGAAGAACTTCTGGCGTTCTACGAAAAGATGTTTTGCCTTCCATGAGTAGACCTTTTAACAGAAGATATTTGGTAAGCTAGTTTAGTATCCGCAACCGTATATACCAAATTACAGCTAATTCGCTAATTTCGCAGGAATGGGATGACAACTTCAAATTTCGACTTGGTTTTTTATAATATATTCGATACACATAAGAAGGAAGAGTTAGAATTTAACACCAACAGCAGACAAAGAGTAATGGGACAGAAGATCGCGTACATAGATACAAGTAAATTCCAACATTAGGAAAAACATCCAACAATCACTCATTACCAATCAGAATCAACAACACTCAGTAGCACTGTTCTCTTACAACAATAATATCACACAGCCCACCCTATCAACTACAGCAACGCATTGGACCGACGAACAACCCAAATAAGATAAACAGTGCTTACACAGCTTACCGTCAACACATAATGAATGATTCTCTTTGACTTAACTATAGTGATTACCTATATATAGTTTTGGTTCCGTTTGATGGATCAGGTCCTCTAAGGCGGTAAATTTGAAATGAAATCATGATTTTGAAATCATTTACAGGAATTGAGATCGCAGTTCCCACCGGAACCTAGAGTAGTAACGCAGAGGTAGTTGAAGACAGTAGCATAGCCCGACTAACTAACTTTCTAGCGCCGATATGAGTTTCCGATCACCTACTACCAGTACACCACCCGAACTCCTGTGAGCCAATCGCTTTTCACCAGAGTTCCCGAATATCTTCAAATCGCCTCAGATTACAATATGTCCAGGACTTCAAAGATAGATCTGGACTTGTAGGGTTCGGCATCTCCTCATATACCGTTACCTCCCGATATTCGGTATTTTCGCTAACTTCAGCTAAAGTATCATAAGTACTCAACTTCCCCACTATGGTTAAATGTTTAGTACGGCCACATTACCTAAATGCACAAGGTCCATATCTTGAAGCCAACCATATAAAAGCAAAGGAAATTAAAAACAAGTAAAAAAGCAGTAAGTTCGGCCGGGCCGAACTTTGAATACCCTCCACCATTTGGAACGAATTAGAAAATTTTCAAAAAAATTAAATCCAATAAAAATTCTTTTACAATCTCTAAAATATCTAATATAGGAAGGTGCCGATATATGGGAGGATATACAATATTGTGGACCTATAAAGACAAATATGTCTGCGTGTAAAGTACTCACAAGGAACTCCTTGTATGGATTTTCAGATAATTCCATTGGAAAAAGTGGCTAAAATCATCAAAATACCGAATATAGGGGAGTACCGTTATATGGGGGCTATACGATATTGGGGGCTATACCTATATAGATGATTCTCTGCCGAGGTATAAAGTACCCACAAGGAACTCCTTGTGTGGATTTTCAGACAATTCCGTTGAAAAATGTGGGTAAAATCATCAAAATACCGAATATCGGGGGGTACCGTTATATGGGGGATGTACGATATCGTGGACCTATATAGATAATTCTCTGCCGAGGTATAAAGTACCCACAAGGAACTACTTGTGTGGATTTTCAGACAATTCCATTGAAAAATGTGGCTAACATCATCAAAATACCGAATGTCGGGGGTACCGTTATATGGGGGCTATACGATATCGTGGACCGATATAGCCCATCTTCGAACTTGACCTGCCTGCAGACAAAAGAGAGATCTGTGCAAAGTTTTAGCTTCCTATCTTAATTCGTTTAGACTGTAGCGTGATTACAACAGACGGACAGACGGACGGACAGGGCCAAATCGTCTTAGAATTTTACGCTGATCAAGAATATATATACTTTGTTGGGTCTAAAATGATTATTTCGATAAGTTACAAACGGAATAACGAAGTTAATATACCCTCCATACCTTTTTTTGGTGGAGGGTATAAAAATTAATTCATCCAAAACTATTTTTCCAGTTTCCAGCGCGGCGAAAAACGTCGAAAAAGTACTACGAATGTATGGGCAAACATTTTCCATGGTGTGTCTAATGAAATCTTAAATATATTTTTCATGGTTGTACTCTTAAAATATTTTAATTCCACATCATGAGAAATATGTTATTTTCATCTTTAGTATCTCTATCTCATCCA